GTCTAGACTTGTATCTGCAGAATAAACCTTGCTGTTGCATTCTGGACATCCAAAGGTCTACGGTGGATTCTTTGGGGGGTCATAATCTGGGCATAACACTACGTCAAATTTTTTATCCAGGGTACAGTCATCAAAAGCTCCAGTTATACAGGGTACAGTCATTGAAAGCTCCATCTGAGCTGTAGAATTGGCTTCTAAGATCAATCACTCACATGGACCTCTCTACAGCACAGCCTGGCAAATGACATTTGGCTTCCTTTAGGCCAAATGGTGTAAGAGGAAGAAAGAATGTGTGAATGGAGGCTACAATTGCTTTATAAGATAATCCTCAGGATGATGCTTCATTACTTTGTTAGGAATAAGTTATTAAGGGCTAGACCTGGTGGCACACACCTTTAATGCCAGCACCTGGGAGGCAGAGACAGGTGAATCCCTGTAAGTGTAAGGCCACGCCTTTCACTTTACAGACAGAAACACTTCTATAGGATGTAGCACGAATCTTAACAGGTCGTATTAATATAATCAAACCTGAGACAGGTATTGGGGTGAATACTGGAAGATCAGAGAAGCAGAACAAGCCACAGCCTCACCGCCCAACTCCTCAGACGATCCTTTTTCCTCAGACTGGAAGCCTCTGAGTCCTCATCCAAATGGCTCTCAGCTGAACTGCTACTCAAAAGCCTGAAAGCTTAACCAGCTCTAGTTCCTGGTCATCATGCCTTATATGCCTTTCTGCTTTCTGCCATCACTTCCTGGGATTAAAGGCTCACTTCCTGAGATTAAAAGCATGGGTTACCATACCTGGCTATTTCCAGTGTGACTTTAAACTCACAGAGATCTGGATGGATCTCTGCCTCCCAAGTGATAGGATTAAAGGCATGTGTGCCACCATTTTCTGTCCTCTATATCTAGTGGCTGTTCTGTTCTCTGACCCCAGATGTTTATTAGGGTACACAATATTTTGGGGAACACAATGTCACCAAAATAGGAACTTTATTATTGTTATTATTATTATTTGGTTATATATATATATATATATATATATATATATATATATATATATATAGTGTGTGTGTGTGTGTGTGTGTGTGTGTGTGTGTGCATTGGTCTTTTCCCTGCATATATGTCTGTGTGAGGATGTTGGATCCTGGAGTTACAGACAGCTGTGAGCTGTCATGTGGGTGCATGGGTCATCTGGAAGAGCAGTCAGTGCTCTTAACCACTGAGCCATCTCTCCAGCCCCTGGTTTTTCAAGACAGGGTTTCTCTATGTAGCTTTGTAGTCTGTCCTGGAACTCGATTTGTAGACCAGGCTGATCTCAAATTTGCATAGATCCGCTTGCCTCTGCCTTCCAAGTACTGGGATTAAAGGTGTGTGCCACCACACCCTGGCTGCAGGAACCTCATTAAGATTATAGTGAGGGGGCTGGAGGGTTGGCTCAGTGGTTAAGAGCACTCACTGACTGCTCTTCCAGAAGACCCAGATTCAATTCCCAGCACCCACATGGCAGCTCACAACTGTCTGTAACTCTAGTTCCAAAGTATCTAACACCTTCATATACAGACATACATGCAGGCAAAACACCAATGCACATAAAAAAAGGTTATAGTGAATGTTTAGATTATGTTGAAAAACTCATCTTAATAATGTGGAATCTATCAACTCAACTCTGAGCAATGAATGTCTTTATTTATTTAGATTTTGTTTGACCCAATTCACCTCTTTGGTTTACTGAGTTCTTCTTCTTCTCCTCCGTCTTTTTGAGACAGGTTTTCTCTGTGTTGTCTCTGCTGTTGTGGAACTTGCTCTGTAGAGCAGGATGGCCTAGAACTTAGATATCGGCCTGCCTCTGCCTCCCTTAATCACTCTGCTGGGATTAAAGATGTGTGCCACTACCCCCAGCTTCTAGTAGTTCATTTTTGAAAATTTCTTGAAAATGATTTCAACTTTAGTAAATTTTTTTTTTTTTTCGAAATAGAGTTTCTCTGTGTAGCTCTGGCTATCCTGGAACTCCTTCTGTAGATCAGGTTGGCTTTGAACTCAGAGATCTGTGGAGTGTTGGGATTAAAGTCATGCATTACCATTGCCCAGGAGGAAGTGATTTTTTTCATTTCAAATTCCAATTATTCCTATAATTATTGGCAGGAAATACCTTGACTTTTGTCTCTTGTCCATCTACATAGTTTCTTTTTTTTTTCTTTTTTAAAAGATTTATTTATTTATTATGTATACAGCATGTATGACCAGAAGAGGGCACAAGGTCTCATTACAGATAGTTGTGAGCCACCATGTGGTTGCTGGGAATTGAACTCAGGACCTTCTGGAAGATCAGTCAGTGCTCTTAACCTCTGAGCCATCTCTCCAACCCTCTACATAGTTTCTTGTTCTATCCTTCTGTCACAAGATCCAAAATGGTGGTTCTATTTCAACATGAATTTTGAAAATTACTGTATTGTATAACCAGAATGCTGAATTTGATTCACTGCTGATGTTGAAAGTGGTTCATAGTCTTTGGGGAACGCTAAGCACTCAACTTCCTGTGGTGCTCTGGACAGCCAACAGAAGGTATTGTAACAGGGCCCCAGACCTTAGTAGGCTCCAAGACCATAGCACAACTGACTCCATGGTGGAAATACCATTCAGGCTGTAAAACTCAGCACCTAGACAATACCACCTGCCAAAACTACAGCAAAGGCCTAATCTATCAAAGCCCATAGTTATGGGAAAGTCTTTCAATGTACTAACCTTGCTTTTTGGCTTCTATAGTTCTCCTGGGTAACTGTTCTTGATAACTAAAGTATGTCAACCCAGGACGTAGTTTTTGTGCTTAAAAGCTCACCCTGGTAAAGGCTTGGGGTTTCACTGGGATCCCGAACACACAGGGTAGTCGCCATCTGGCTAATAAAGGACTTTCTATTGGTTTAAATCCATAGAAAGCAGTCTTCCCTGGTGAATACCCCATAACAAGTATCATAACGATTTTCTGACTCAGTGTCTCCCACAGAGATACTTGCTTTGCTTCTAGAATGAATACACTGGAGCTTCCTTCTCACATTCTATACTGCTTTGGGACACCTGCGGTTCGACTGAGAGAAAGGTGAAGGAATTTCATATCACCGTTATGAGGTGGGTACCTGTTCTAAACCATGAAATCCACCATTCCTGGTAATTCAAGTGTGGACCTGTGGGAAAATGTCCTTTTATGCTTGCCATAGATTCTCAGAGGCTCATGGGTAATGTAGTCCCTCACCTACGGGGCCATCCCTCACAGGATCAGGTAAACAGCTCCCACCAATCGGCTTGTGGACGCCTCTGTCCAGCACTCTCCTGGAAACTGGCTTAGAAAGTCGCGACCTGGCGTGGTGCTGACGCCATCGCTCAGGCTGAGGGTTTGCTGCGGGGTTCCTGGAGGCGGATGCGAAGAAGAACGAGGAGAGTGACCTCACGATCCTCGGAAGCTGGATCCGAACCCTTTCGCTTGGTGGAAGCAGAAACATAGGTGGGTCTTGGTGGTGGGGCTGAGACGTGGGGCAGACCGGAGCGGGTCTGGGAGGAGACTGCAAGGATCCACCATTCCCATTTGGAACAGACGACCTGGACAGTGCGTTCATGGTTGCTGTGTCAGAAGACTGCGCTAGGAGGTGTTTGGGCCTGTGATTCCAACTGTCCAAGGGATTTACAGAAGCTTTGCCAAGGAGGAGAGAGCCCAAGATGGCGACTTGGGGGTGGGGGCGGTGCGTGTCTTTAGATTGCCCTGGCCAGCAGGCCTGAGGTGTGAGCTCAAGTTCTAGCCCTTGCCGGTGAAGAATCCTGTTGAGACCAGACTGCAGAACCGGGAATTTTTCACTAGCACGAACCCAGAAATCCCAAACCGCGAGCCTGGGAAAGTGTAAGTTGAAAGTGTAAGTGCTGGAGACTGAAGGGGGCCTGTGACCCACGAGTCCGTACGAAAGAGGGTGTTTGTTATCCTAATGAATTGACCCGAAATTCCTAGGGAAATTCTCACATACTGTCTTTAGACTCTGTCGGGCATTGGCGATTCTGTTCTTTAAATTTCCTGTCTCGTCACGTCTTTTGGCTTCCTGTGCACCGCGTAGCCAGCTTGACAGTGGCCAGCTTGGCACTCCAGGTTTGGAGCTCTTAGCGATTCTCAACCTATGGGAAGGGTCGCATATTAGACATCCTGCATATTAGATATTTACATTACGATTCATAACAGTAGCAAAATTACAGTGATGAAGTAGCAATGAAGACAATTTTATGGTTGGGGGGGGGTCTCCATAACATGAGGAACTGTATTAAAGGGCCACAACATTGGGAAGGTTGAGAACCACTATCTTAGGTTTTGTTTCGTTTTTGCAAATACCAAGTCACCAGAGACGAGAATATCTCTTAGGAGATTCTGGTATTGAAATAGGAACGTTTTCTTGAGAACAAAATAGAGGGTTTCACGTTCTGAAGGGGAGGGTGTTTCATCAGTAGGAATTCCATCACCCTAGTGTGGAGGAAGACCTTAATAAGAGACTAGGAAGCGCTGAGTCCTGGTAGGGAATTAGCTCCGGGTCCAAGCCTTAGAATGCTGCCACCTAACTCTACAGAACTGCAGGGCCTTGTGATACAGGCCCCTTTGACTAAAACTGTCCTTTGATTAACAGGGTCTGCCCACATTTTCATGGCAGAGATTGCATAATTGAAAGTTACCTGTACATCATGATGTTTCAGAACAGTACAGCGGCCAATTTGGAGTCCTTCCCCATTACCATAGTGCTCAGGCTACTACGTTGGTGGCCAGTACAGGGAAGGATTGCTGAGCTGTTAATGCATTTGCCCTTTAGACCAGAATAGGAAGTATGTTTATTGAGTATAATGCAATAGAAGAGCAAGCAATTATAGTACCACCTGCCTCATAGGCTAATGAGCTGTGGGTGAGGTTGGAGACAGGGGATATACTTGTTCAGTTAGAGGGAGATTCTTTATGTGCATTTCTCTGGCATGTAATACATGGTGTGCGAAGATCAGTCTACATGAGTCAGTGTACATCTCTAGGGCGTTAAGCAAGAGCTACTGTGAAGGTAATTCCAGCTGTGTGAAGGTAATTCCAGCTGTGTAATGGCCATGCAAACAATCTCAGTCCTGTGAAAATTCTCTAGTGGGGACCTGCTCCACAGCAGGCAAGATCTACTGTTAATGACCTTCCCTCCACAACTAGTGCATTTGAGCAGAGGCAGAGTGAAGGTGAAACTCTTAGCTTTACATGACCTAAGCAATTACTGATCCCATTGCTTAGAACAATTTTTGGGCAAAGCTACCACCTTCTCAGAAGTTATCAATATATGGGTGGTAGTCGGGGCCTTGATCCTCTTTAGATGGTTGAGGTTGTCGCTCTTCTACCAGCTTAGTTGAAAAAGATAGGCAAGGACCCGGGGAATATGTATTGGATCTGGAAGTTGTGATACAGTGTGGAGAGGTGCCCTGTCACACCTGACTGAATCAGTGGTTGGTAGGTTTACTTTTCCTCTTCTCTCACTGTTTCCAGTGTGTGAGCTCTTTTAATTAATTTTGTATGTTTGAGTATATTGTCCACATGTATGTCTGTTTACCATGTGTAGCTGACAAAAACCAATGTTTGTATATTTTCTAATACTGATTACTAGTTACCATGTAAATGCCTTAGATTTGTGTTTTTCTATTTTTGGTGTTGAAATCCAGTGTCCAAGTGTGAACTGCAAATGCTTTACCACAGAACAAGGTGACTGGTTTTCAAATACTTTCCAAATACCTTTTGCTAAGCTTCCTACCCCTGGTATCATTAATACATTCTGTACATTATATAACCTTAAAGGTTAAACATAAAAGTGTTTTACTTAATGCTAGCATTCTGTAAACCAAAATTCATAAGAATGAAAATAATAGAAATCAGTCTCACTTTTGTAAAATGAAGAAATTAGATCACATTAAACTTGTGCTCTAAACCTATACATGCAAATACTACAGAATGCCACATTCACATGAACCTAACAGCTTCTCTGTTTAAAAGGTTAGACCCTCTTTTGCCAGACAGTGCTGGTTTGAATAATGTGACTTCAGCTATTCCTACTGTGGTTTTCAAAGCTTAGGCATCTGGTTACAGAATACTTTTTACTGTGTTTGTCATGCTTGGAAACTATTTCCCATTTTATGTTAAAATAATTGAATTCTAAATTATTAGATGTATCAGTTTTTCTTGTACAACAACAAAAATATTACTTTAAAGAACAATTTGATTTTTTTTTCACATTCCTCTAGGTCGATGTCTGGACTGGTCTCAGCTGCGAAATTGCTGTCTTTTGCTGCCTTCAGTGACAAATGAGGTTTGAGTCATCAGTGCTTTGAGGCTGTCTCATTCTGGGTGTTCTGTCTCACATCCAGGGGTTCCTGCAGAGTCTCCTCAAGGCTTTATTTTTATCAAGCTGCCACCAAGGTTCTTCACAACACATTTGTGTCTAGTAGGTGAGCACTGGTTAGGAAATACTTTTCAAGCTTCGGTTGTCTTCACATTTGCTGAGTTCTCTTGGTAAAATGGCTCATTATTATTCGTGGGAATGAAATCAGGGTGTGGATACATAGAGATGCCCCATTTGGAAACATTATTGTAACAATGTCCTATAAGAAATGGGCATTGTTTAATTTCTTCTTACTGTATAAGCATGGGCAAAACAAATCTTGCAATGTGCATATTTTCCATGAAAATGAGCTGTACAGCCGGGCGGTGGTGGCGCACGCCTTTAATCCCAGCACTCAGGAGGCAGAGCCAGGCGGATCTCTGTGAGTTCGAGGCCAGCCTGGACTACCAAGTGAGTCCCAGGAAAGGCGCAAAGCTATACAGAGAAACCCTGACTCGGAAAAACCAAAAAAAAAAAAAAAAAGAAAATGAGCTGTACAAAGGAAGAAGTAGTATGAGAAAGTGCTCATATGGAGCCCATTTTGGTGGAATAATAGAATATTTCAATAAAAAACAGGTGCATTTCTGTGTTAATGGTAAGAGCAAACATAATGACTTCTGGTTTCCTTTTAAAAAAGGAATGTTAATTATTACTAATATGTTCATTACTTGCTGATGTTTGTACTCATTAGTTCAGCCATAACTGTCATGTGTAATGGCTCTGAATGCACTTGTGAGTCCATTGCCAATGCTGTCTTTGTTGTACTTTCTTGTGAATGGGACTGTTTTCTTCTTTAAAAAGATTTATTTTTGTGTGCATTGGTGTTTTGCCTGCATGTATGTCTGTGTGAGTGTGCCAGATCTCCTGGAAATGGAGTAACAGACAGTTGTGAGCTGCCCTGTGGGTGCTGGGAATTGAACTCAGGACCTCTGGAAGAGCAGCCAGTGCTCTTAACCACTGAGCCATCTCTCTAGCCCCTAGGAACTATCTTCTTACAATTTTAACTTTTCTTCTTCTTTTTCAGCTAATTGTATAGTGCTTTGAGTGGAGACTCTAGGACCAAGCCATGAATAGCCTCTCCCGCTCATGACTCTACACTAGTCTCCTTTTCTCAACTGTATCTCCAATATCATTTGTGTGTTTCCAAGGGCAAAACCATGAACAAGCAACTTGCAAACATCATGAATGAATATGTGGTGAGTTGTTGTTGATGTAACCAACCGTCTTATTAAATAAGAAACACAGAA